GGACGAGATGCTGGCCCAGTCGGACTCGCTGCAGGAGCCGACGTGGAAGCCATAGGGGCTTTTTAGGTTTGAGGGCTTCGGTTGCCCTAAACCCTACACCCTAAACCCTAAACCCTAAACCCTAAACCCTAAACCCTAAACCCTAAACCCTAAACCCTAAACCCTAAACCCTAAACCCAATAAAACACCCCAACCCTAAGCCCTTTCTTAAGCAGGGTTTTAGGGCCCTGGGCCTTCAGGGTTTTAGGGATTTGGGGCACCAGGTTGGTTGGTCCCAGAGCCCTATCACCCGAAGCCCAAATCAGTTAAACCCTAAGAACGCTAAAGCCGCAAACCCAAAGCCCTAAAGCCGTAAAACCCCAAACCCTAACGCCTTGCACACCGAAATTCCTTAAACCCTAGACCCTAACGAAGCCTTTGAGCTCCAAGACCCTCAAGCCCTAAAACCACAAAAACCTGAAAAAGCCTGAAGCCCCAGCACAGGCCAAAATCCGAAATCTCCTGAAGCCCTATCCCGCCCGACCCCAAGCCTTAAAACCCTGAGGCCCCAAAAGCGAAAGTCCCTAAACCCTAAACCCTCAACCCTAAACCCTAAACCCTAAACCCTAAACCCTCAACCCTCAACCCTCAACCCTCAACCCTAACCCTCCATAGGAGCGCCTTCGACAGCTCTGTGAGCCGGACCTAACAGATCTGGACGTTGAAGTTCAGACGCCTGGCTTAAATTCAGCCCCAAGCCCTGAGCCCTGAGCCCTAAGCCCATAGCTTTGTTTGTTTTTTTTTTTTTTTTTTTTTTGGGGGGGGGGGGGGGGGGGGGGGGGGGGGGGGGGGGGGGGGGAAAGTCCTGGACCCGAAGCCCTAAGCCCCGAACTTTGGGCATTTGGGGTTTGGGGTTTCCATTCCGCCTGAGGCACGGCTAGTCTGAAGCTTCATACTGTCTGGCATATAGCCCAGAACATCTTGCCGCCTCCCGCATGCTCGTGACGTCGCATAACCCTGAGCCCTAAACCCTAAACCCTAAACCCTAAGACCTCTGAGCCCCAAACCCCACAAGTCTCAAAGGCCTCGGGTGAAGCCTCCAAAACAGCTTAGCATCTCCTAGCAGGGTACATGGGCCTACATGGGTACTTCTCTGAATCAGGGACCCTCTTTGGGGTCCCTATTAAGTACCAGGGTGCCGTAGTACACAGGGGACCCAACAAGGGACTCCGAATTTAGAGAGCTACCCTTATCATACCCTTAAACCCTAAACCCCAAACCCCAAACCCTAAACCCCAAACCCTTTGATGGACCAGAGCACAGGATTGCCGTTCCCGGCGGTTTTCGCCGCTTCTGCTTGCAGCGCCTTGGACATCAGCAAGGCGTCAGGTTGCCATGCAAGGTCGCAGAGAGGTTTAGGGTTTCGGCTGTAGGGTTTAGGGTTTGAGTTAAGGCATTCGCCTTAAAGCCTTATAGGCTTTCGGGTTAAGGGCATATTCATACTAATTGGAGCTCCTAGTTTGCCTTCAGGCTTCTGCCTTACTGACTGGTAGTTCTCTAACATGATAGGGTCCCTTGGGTCCCTTTTGTGTACTCTATACAGTACGGCAGCCCCAACAGCGTCGTCAAGTGCCTCCAAAACACCTGAATCCTAAACCCTAAACCCTAAACTCAGGGCCTCGGCACCCTAAACCCTAAACCCTAAACCCTAAACTCAGGGCAGGGGGGGTACCCCGGGGCCCAGTTCAGGGGGGGTCCCGCACCCCTCGCCGCAGCGTCACCAAGGACTCAGGGGCGGGTGCTTTAAAAAAGCTGTTTTAGGTGAGCCCCCCTGGGCCTGCGGCCCTCCTGACCCGCCTCAGCCCTGGGCCGCACTGGAGGGTTGCCTTTTCTTGTGAACCTGCATCTTGAACAAGCTGGCGACCACGGTGACGGAATGAAGAAGTTTTATGGGAAGTAAGCAGTTGGCTTGAGTTTAGGCCTAAACCCTAAAAGGAATAGGTTTGGGTGGCTTTGGTTTGGGTGGCTTTGCCGCCTCGGACGGCGAGGGGTGGGAGAAAAGTGGATGGCCTTCCACAATCGGGCCAAAGCTGCTCTTCGCGCCTCACGAAGCTTTCGAGCTTGTTCCAAAGCCTAACCTTCGCAGCATCTACGCCCTATCACAGCAGACCCTAAACTACCCTAAACTCTAAACCCTAAACTCTAAACCCTAAACCCTAAGGCCTAAACCCAAACCCACCCCGGCTCCTCTGAGGCTGCTGTCGGCCGAGCAACGCTGGCGCACGGCGCGCGACTCGGTGCTCCCAGCTCGCTTGGATGTGACAGTGGGGTTTAAACCTTTTTAGGGTTTAGGGGGGGTTTAGGGTTCAGGGCTTAGGGTTTTGGAAACTCCCCACCCAACCGCGCCTCCTCCCAAATAAGGTTCCTCTGCTTTCAGACTTTAAACCCTTACTCCCCCACCTGTCCCGAAGCCCAAATTTAAGAGCCTCCGGCTCAAGGCGCGGTTCGGGTCTGGGGGGGGGGTGTTGGGGGGGGGGGGGGGGGGGGGCCAGCCTGGCGAGAAGCTGCCTGGGGGTAGGGGGGTAGTGGGGGGGGAGAGGGTTTTTCCAAAAGAGCCCCTATGCCCTGTGCGAAACCGCCTATGGTCCATGAGTTTACGCGGTGTGGGTAGCCTGTTCCTGCACGGAAAAGCTGCCGGGGTACCCCCCCCTACCCCCCCTAAGAATCCAACACGTCGGCGGACACCCTACGCAACCCCTGAGTCCCGAAACTTAAACCCCCAACCCTAAACCATAGAAACCCTAGAACCCCCAGAAACCCTAGAAACACTATAAAGCCTATAAACCCTCTAAACCCTGTATGCCTATGAACCCTACAAGCCCTGCACACCCTATAGACCCTACAAACCCTATAAACCCAAAACCCTAACCCTAAACCCCAAACCCTAAACCCCAAACCCTAAACCCTAAACCCTAAACCCTAAACCCTAAACCCTAAACCCTAAACCCTAAACCCTAAACCCTAAACCCTAAACCCTAAACCCTAAACCCTAAACTAACACTACAAACCTGGCTCCAGGTCATTTCTCAGTGGGCGAACTTCCAGGCCGTGCGCGAGGCTCGGGGCCCGACTTGGTGTCAGGGGCTCCTGGGCTTCTATTCGGGGTTTTAGGGTTTAGTGTCGGGTTTAGGGTTTAGGGTTTAGGGTTTAGGGTTTAGGGTTTAGGGTTTAGGGTTTAGGGTTTAGGGCTAGGGTTTCAAGCATTTTTTGTTTTAGGTGTTGTAGGGCTTCTAAAGGTTTGGGCCGGGGGGTGTTAGGGTAGTGCGCTTGAGTCCAGGATTTTGGGGGTACAGGGTTTAGGAAGGATGGCTTGGAGGGCTTGGGGCTTTGGTGCTGTTGGTAGATAAGTAGGGCAACTAAAGCTCTAATTCTTTATCGCCTTCGGGATGCCTTCAGGCCCGAAAGCCTCCTTGCTTAGGGTTTAGGGTTTAGGGTTTAGGGTTTAGGGTTTAGGGTTTAGGGTTTAGGGTTTAGGGTTTAGGGTTTAGGGTTTAGGGTTTAGGGTTTAGGGTTTAGGGTTTGCAGACCCAAAGCCCTCCTTGTACCAGCCCTTGATGTGAGGTGTTCTCGGCTCGCGGACCTAAAGCCCTAAGACCTGAGTACATGCGCCCCTAAGCCCCAAACCCTAAAGCCTAAATCCTAAACCTTAAACCCTAAACCCTAGACCCTAGACCCTAGACCCTAAACCCTAAACCCTAGACCCTAGACCCTAGACCCTAAACCCTAAAGCCTAAAGCTTAACCCTAAACCCTAAGCCGCCCCTAAAGCTTAAACCAGTTCAGGGCTTCTTCTACTTGACGACTCGGATATATCGTCTAAGTAGGGCTCGAAGTGCCATTACCGTAAGGTCATTTTTGGTTTGGTGCTCAGAGCCAACCTCTAGACCCTCCAATCCCTAAACCCTATAAACCCTACAAACCCTATGTGAAACCCCTATAAGCCCTCCAAACCCTGTAAACCCTACAAACTTTATGAACCCTAAACCCTATAAACCCTACAAACCCTATAGGCCCTCAACTTTAAACCCTAAACCCACCCTGAGCCCTGTTCCTGCCCGGGGAGCCGGAGGACCTTGAGTGGGCCAGGCGCGTGGAGCAGCTGCTCGCCATGATTGTTTCGGGTTTAGGGGATTAGGGCCGCCTGTTTAGGGTTTCGGGGTTTAGGGGTTTAGGGTTTAGAGGCTTAGAGGTTTAGGGTTCAGGGGTTTAGGGGGCATCTTGCATACCGAAACCTCCAAAAGGAGCCTAAAAACACCCCTATACTCCTTCCACACTACACTACGTACCACAATCCCCACACTTTCCTCATGCCCTAACCCCAAACCGTAAACCCTCTTTTCTCTGGTGATCGATCATTGGGGGCTTCAAGACGTACAGACATGTTGCGTTTGGCACCAGGTGCCCAAACTTGGGCTCGACTTGCTCCCATCAAAATTCTCCTACGAAATTCCAGTTAGAAGCCCAAATCCTAAACCCTAAGCCCTAAGCCGCAAATTTAGGTACACTTTCAGGGCAACTTTGGCTTTGCTCTTTTTGAGAAACTTAGGGAAATCTAGGGTTCGGCTGGGGAGGTTCATGGGTACTTATAACCCCAATTCTAAGTCTACCCTATTTAGGGGACTTCGGGCGACTTCGGGAGCTTATACGTGCAGTTACAATGTGGCATATTAGGTACCCTGAACCTCCAAGTAGAGGGCTTAAGGTTTTTTGGGTTAGCTGGGGGGGGGGGGGGGGGGGGGGGGGGGGGGTAGGGGCTTGGGAACAAATGAGTCTTTGGGGATTGAGTGGTTGGGATGTACGACAGGATTGCTTAAAGGACGGAGAAATTCAGCCCCGAAAAGGACCAGAACTTAGAGATCTTCTTGTATAGGTGTAAGGCAGTTTCGAGTAGAGCTGGATTTACATCTAGCACCCATTTGAAGGGTCGTCTTCCCTTACTTGTAACCCCTGGCATGGCGAGCCATGAGCTTGCAAGTACCAATGACGACACCTTTAGAGAGTCCCCGATGAGGTGGGGGTTCCCCTCCAGGTTCATAATTGGGTCACAAGTACAGTTATACTTGGGTTACTAAGTACCATGAACCTCCAAGAAAAACCCTAAACCCTAAACCCTAAACCTAAACCCTAAACCCGAAACCCTAGGGTTCCCCTCAAGTCCTCCTGTCTTCCTTGTAGCAAGGCAGTTCCGCGAGTTTCAGCAGGTGCGGGCAGAGCAGAAGAGCCTTGGCTGGATGTCTCTGGAGTCATAAGGGTTTAGGGTTTGTGGCTTCGGGTTTAGGGTTTAGGGTTTAGGGTTTAGGGTTTAGGGTTTAGGGGGCAGTGTGGGGTTGAGTCGGTGTAAGGTTGAGGGGGTAGGGTTCCCGGAGTCAGACCTTTGATGAGTGAAGGAATAGGGGCCCTTGGGTACGGGTAACCTCCTCGCCTTAAACCCCACACCCCAAACCCTAAACCCTAAACCCTAAACACCCCCCCCGCCCCGACCCCCCCCCCCAGCGCCCCAGCGAAAAAAACGTTGGCCAAGTAGCCTTTCATCCGAGCTTTGGGTGCGGTATACGAATCCATGAAATTTAGGGTTTCCCTAAACCTTAAACCCTATATAGACTCTAAACCCTAAACCCTATATAGACCCTAGACCCTTGACCCTAGACCCTGAACCAAATTTGGGAGGACTCGGGTAGCCTTGGGAGTGCTCGAGCAGCGCAGGCCAGGGCGCGTACAGTTCTCATCGGCCGCAGAACAAACTCACCTCCTGGTGAGGCTAGTCCTACAAGCACTATCCATCTGCTGCTTGGCCAAAACCACAAAGCCATTGAGGACATTGGACAAGAAGATTTGCAAGCTCCGCCGAGAGTTCGTTGAGAATCAAGAGCGGGACATTATCTTCGGCAACGGCAAGAGTTGGGTAGACATTGAGGCCGACGAAGCCACGTTTGACAAGAGAGACATCTCGCAGACACCCGACCTCAAGCACTTGATCGTCAAAAAGGGGGAGACCATGATGTGGGAACAGTGGGCAGGTGTGGTCCAGAGAGGGCGGCCTGACACACTGGTGCTTCACAAGCTCACGCCAAAGTTGACAGTCAAGCGTGCACCGGGTCCTGGAGCTATCAGGAAAACGGAGTGGACCACTCTTGGGGCGAAGTTGCTACAAGATCGGCGCGTGATCTTGCGCACTGAATCCGCCAGTCATACAAGGCGAAGATCTCTGGCGTTCTCCATGACCGCGTCATCCACTGTAAAAAGCGCGTCAAAAGGAATGGCAAGTGGATCTGGGTTTAGAGTTTAGGGTTTAGGGTTTAGGGTTTAGCAGACCTTGCCAGCAAAGAGATGCGTGAAGGCACAAGCCAAGAGATCAAAGACCTCGTGGATGGTGTACATGACCTGCACGATCAGACGACAGCATCGCAAAACCGTCGGACACACCTTGTCTACCACGAAGTCGACAGGCACTGAAGGACAGCCAAGAAACTCATGTCGCCAAGAAACTCATGTCGAAGAACTGGTGGCAGCGTGCAGATGTTAATCTTCGAGCAGCGTGAGGCCATTAGGCCAACTTCAGGATTTTGAAGTTTGGAGCCTGAAAAGAATCCCGACCTTGCGGTTTAGGGTTTTGTACCGGGGGGACTTAGCTATGTTCGGGAAGACGGATCTAGCGATGCTCAAGACAAACCCAGGACACTAAACGCGACTAGGGTCTCCAAAAAGTGCGCGACGACATCCAGAATCAAATTGAATTGGGGTCGCACAGTCTAGGGTCTAGTATCAGGTATGTTTCGCGTTCGGGAAAGGTAGCCTTGAACTCTCATACCGGAATCCCGGACAACACCTAGATCCTACTTGAAGACGCATGGGTAGCTATGGGAAATCTAGCCAAACAAAGCTTTTGCCTAATGTAAACAGGACTGTAGCTGCCCCACTCAAACTCCAAGTTCGATCTACCCATGCACCTCCACGCAAGCCCTAAAGGAACCTAAAGCTTGAAGTCCCTTACCTGAAGCCTTACAAGCCCATAAGTCCGATAAGCTCTATCAACCCAATAAACCCTACACACCCTGTAAGCCCCAGAAACCCTATACAGGACCTAAACCTCAAAATGCTGCCGTGCCAGGCTCTGGATGACAAGAGCATCCCTAGAGACTGCAATACCACTCAGTCAGAAAAGAAAAAAACTGTCCCTGATTCAGGGTCATTGGAGTCTGTTCGGTTCAGGGTTTATGTCTTTTGGTCTCAATTAGGGTCAGTGTCCTTCTTCCCACTGCGCCAAGGAAAGTCCTCGCAGGCGCCTCGGCGCGCGCGAAGGAAGTGCAGGTTGCAGGGGCAGCGTGCTCCCGCCAGGCGGGGTGCAATATTATATTGTCCCCCATTAGGTTTAAGGGGATCATATTCAGGAGTATTTGTTCAGAGGGGTTTAAGTGCCATCTAGTTCGGACCCTAACCCCCCGCGCCCTCTCTGTAAGTCCCTGTGGTAATCGACCTTGGTCTAGTCGAGTTCTATACATATATACATATATTTATTCTTAAGAATGCGATTTACCGTACCCTTGTTCGAGCGACATGTACATTCCTCGTGAAACATAGGCTGCCATAAGCTAGGGTTTAGGGGGTTAGGTGTTTACGGGTTTAAGGTTTAGGGGTTTAGGGCTTTAGGGCTTTAGGGGTCTATTTAGGGGCTTAGGGCTTTAGGGGTTTAGGGGTTTAGGGGTTTAGGAGCTTAGGGCTTAGGGTTGTTTAGGTTTTCGGATCAGGCTCAGTTGATTGAAGAGCTCCAAGGGCGCATCCAGCAGGCGTCGCAGTTTCCTGGTGGCAGCAAATTCAGGGCTTAGGGTTTGGGGTTTACGGTTTAGGGTTTCCACCCCGCACCCCTGAACTGTCAATCCCTGATCCTAAACGATTTACTGCTTACATTTGTAAACCCTCGACCCCATCCCCCCAACACCCCACCCTTTCATTCTCTCCAAACGCATAAACTTTATGGCCTAAACCCCAAGCCTAGCCCCTTCACCCTGGGGATCGCACCTGTTGCAGATCTCGACCTCTTTCAGAGTCGTAGGGTTTGAATGGTTGAGGGTTCAGGGTTTGGAGTTTTTTGGGCTGTGCATGCCTGGATGGGACGCAGGCAGCCACGAGCAACCCTGAACCTTAAACTCTGTCACGCTAAACCCTAAACCCCTACAACCAAAACTCTTTTTTTTAAGCCCTAAACCCTAAAGCCTAAACCAACCCTAAACCCCAAGCCCCAAGCCACTAAACCCTAACCCCCAACTGGTAAACCCTAAACGAACGGAGCCAAGGCGCAAACCAATCCTAAACCCTGAACCAACCCTAAACCCCTAAACCCTAACCCCCAGATTTTAAACCCTCCCTCAAACCCTAAACCCTAAACCCTAAACCTAAACCCTAAACCCTAAACCCTAAACCCTAAACGAACGGAGCCAAGGCGACCCAAAGCGGAGCTGCAACTCGAGCTCGGTCGGGAGCAGCAGAAGCCGCCGGGTTGGCCATTTGTTGCTTTAGGGTTTAGGGTTTAGGATTTAGGGTTTAGGGTTTAGGGTTTAGGGTTTAGGGTGTAGGGTCTAGGGTTCAGGGACCCATACCTCACGCCCCAGACTTCGATTCCGAGCCGAGGCACGCCATCCTCGTCGAGCGGACTGAGCAGCTGGATTTGGTCACCCGCAGGCTGGTCTGGGTTTTGGAGTACTATACAGGTTTAGGGTTTAGGGTTTAGGGTTTAGGGTTTAGGGTTTAGGGTTCAGGGTTTGGGGTTTAGGGTTTAGGGTTTCAGGGCTTAGGGGTTCTGGGTTTTGGAGTACCCCTTCTAATGACCCCTATTCAGGACTGTTAGTTTAGGGGGAAGGCCCTAACCTATGCTAATTCTTAAGGCCCCTGTATTACTGGGTTTTGGAGTACTCTACTTTAACACTTTTTTTGGGCTCTGGGTTCCTATTCTAGCTACTTGTACCTTAAAAATGCAGACTTGTTTTCCAGGGTCTACTCCAAAGTAGGGTGGTGCTCTTGGGGCTTTGAAAGGAAAGGGCTTGTATAATTACTATAGGGTTGTATAGGGGTTGTATAGGTTTTGTATAGGGTTTAGTGTTTAGGATTTGGGGTTTACACAAGGTTTGTGTAGTATTCTAGGATTGTTTGATGGGCTATTTGATGAGTCTAGAATAGGGCGTTAGGGGCTTCTAGGCGATTACAGGCTTGATTGCGACTGTTGTTCCATGGAAGAAGCCTGCCTTTGATAACTCCTGGGACTGGGACCCTCATGAGGTTTAGAATTTAGGGCTTAGGGGTTTATGACCCCTTAACACGCCCTTCGAGCATTCTTAGTGCGCTGTAGGGTTCAGGGTTTCTAGCTGCTGCAGCCTTGCGGAGGCGGTGGTCCCTAAATAGGTGCGATCCCGAGACCTTAACCCAGCTGCCAAGACCCTAAAGAAAAGAACCCTACCAGGAAGCCCTACAACAAGAACACCAAAAGCGAACTAAGCCTAAGGTTTACTGCTGTTGGGATTTGGTGTGAGGACTCTCGTGCTTTAGTTTTAGGGGTTTAGGATTCGGGAGGGGAAGGGGGCAGGGGGTCCACATCAAATGCCCCAAGTCCCAAGCCCCTCTTCAGAAGGTTCATGGTGTAGTTACGAGCAGGGCAACAAGTATTCCAAGCCTGCAGGTAGTGAGTGGCCCCAAGTAAGGTTTTAAGGGAGTCGAACTCAAGTTGACCCTACTTACCCAGCTATAACCAGCCATGATGTCAGGGGGCAGTCTGCAGAAAAAGGCGCCAAGGCGCACCAGCGTGGCCTGTGGGTGCGGCATTTTCTCACTGGTTCCTAGTAGGGAGCTAGGCAATACCTGTCGTTGAAGATTTCAATGTTGTCGTTGAAGGTTTCAATGTTGTTAGAGAGGGTTCACAATATTTTGTTTCCGGACATGTTCAGTTGCCAGTTGACCCTGAAGTTCATATGTAAGTTTTACAGGGGTGTCAAAAAAGAACATAAACAAAATACATGATCTAGGACCCAGAGCAGGCCCTCATTCCCTGCTGTTTCAGCCTTGGGGGCCCGTTTCAGCCCCTTCAAATGCAAAAGGGCACCCCTGTTAGTCCTAGGTTATCAAAGGTTACTCTTGGGTCTAGTGATCTTTCGTATCAGAATTTGTGGGTGTGTGTCGTGCTTTCAGAGTGTAAGGCGTTGTCCATCCGAGGTTCTCGGCCAGAACGGCCGCCCGAAAAGCATGGCGCCTTTGCTCGACCCTGAACCCTAAACCCAAAAGCTAAGCCCTAGACCCGAAACGCAAAATCAGAACCCTAAATCCTAAACCCTAAACCCTAAACCCTAAACCCTGAAACCTAAACCCTAATCCCGAAACCCTAAACCCTAAACCCTACCACCCCTTTTGTGATGGTATCTTCTTTGAGTGCAGCATGATCAGCACAACCCTGAGCCCTACAAACCTTCTTCAGCCTCCTTGCCCTTAGAGCAGGGCTATTGCTTTCAGGGTTTGGGGTGTAGGATGTGACCTTAAACCCTAAACCCTAAACCCTAAACCCTAAACCCTAAACCCTAAACCCTAAACCGGGGTTACGACACTTCCGGCGCAGGCGTCACCAGCGGATGTGGCGCAGCTGGCGTCCGAAGTCCGTGACAGGCCCGGTGCACTCCCAGGTCTTCTGCTTAGGGTTTAGGGTTTAGGGTTTAGGGTTTGGGGTTTAGGGTTTAGGGTTTAGGGTTTGGGGTTTAGGGTTTAGGGTTTAGGGTTTGGGGTTTAGGGTTAAGGGTTTAGGGTTTAGGGTATGGTCTTCAGGGCAACCGAATTACCTGAGAAGGCGGCAGTTTATCAAGTGGGACTACAGCTCTCCTATTTGTTCTTGCTCTCTGTTTTTTCTCCCAAAAATGGAAATATGGGACCCCGAATAGAGACCCGCAAATAGATTCCCTGATGAATTGGCCCCCAATAAGGTACCCCAAATTTCGGAAACCCGCAAAGAGTGGTAGTCTTTGAGGTTCCTGTATAAAACCATGTTAATGCTTGAGGGTGTATTCGGGCCACCCCGATTTTGGGAAGTGCGAGATGTCCTTGGCTTGAGGCCCCGAAGTCTCTACACTCTTTTGGGGGGTTGAGGGCTTAGGGTTTAGGGTTTAGGGTCGCCTGGTCCACGAAACCCTTTAAACCTTAAACAGCCGGTTTTGGCAGTCGCTCAGATAGCGAAGAAGCCTCGAAAAAAGCTCTCCAAAGAACCCCCAAGGTCCCAAACAACATTACCTCCTTTAGTCCCTTGACTTAAGGCCTTAAGGCCTCAAGTTGCGTTGGGGGACTTAGGGTTCAGGGTTTCAGGTTTAGGGTTTAGGGATTTGGGCTTCAGGATTCTTAAACCTTGAACCCCAAAAACCTTTGAGCCCTAAAGCCTGGACTATAGACCCTGAACCATGAACATGTGCATGGTTTTATGGCTTCAGGATCCCTAAACCCTAAGCCCTAATCCCTAAACCCTAAACCCTAAACCCTAAACCCCAAGCTGGAGGACGCAGCACGTGGTGGAACTCCTCGCGGAGATCGACCAGCTCCAGCGAGCTGCAGCTCCCAGGCGTGGGGGAAAGCTCGGCCGTAGCGGGTCGCAGGGTTTAGGGTTTAGTGTTTAGGGTTTAGGGTTTAAGGGCCCTGCAGGGCCCTACGAGCCCAAGCCTCCAAGCTTAAGCCCTTTTTTTTCCCGAGTGGCGTCTTTCAAGGGCTTCTGTTTTGGGGTGGGAGCGGGCTTGTTTGCTTCAACCGGGGGCCCCAAATCTAGGACCATGGTAGTTTCCGCCCGTTTTCCTCTCTTCACCCTTCTACCTAAGGCCGAAACCTTAAAGCCATTGGGATGGAAGTTTTTTTTGCCCAAACCCTAAACTCCAAGCCCTAAACCAGCCTGGGAATTCCTATGTTCGTCTCCAGGCCCTCTGAGTCGCGTGGCCTCATGACGCTTAGGGAGTTCATTTAGGGGTGTATAACCCTGAAATAGGGTTTAGGGTTTAGGGTTTTGGGTTTGGGGTTTAGGGTTTAGGGTTACTGAAACCTAGACCGAAGCTTGAGAGCCCAACGCCCGAAAGCTCTCTGATCCTAAGCCCGACTTGCAGGCTCTTGGGCTCTAAACCCTAAACCCTAAACCCTAAACCCTCAAGGGATTAAGACTCGGAACCCTAAGGTTGTTACCCGGTTCCCCTTGCATGGAATCATAATCTTGGCCCTTACTTTTGCGTAGAGAAGATTCTGAAAAGGGTCCCCAAACCCTAAGGTGCGACCTCTAAGTTGCAAGGTAGAATCCCTGGAACAGCCTAGGGCCTAGACGTATAGCCGGAGATCACATGTTTTCGGTGGGCATAAGCAGAGTTGAAGTTCACTTAGGGTCATCGTCCTTCATCGCAAGACCGCATTTCAAGAAGCCAATCCCTAGACCCTAAACCCCGAACCCGAAGCACTAAAGCCCCTAATTAAACCAGAAACCCGAAACCCGAAACCCTATAAACCCTAAACCCTGAAACCAAATCCTAAAACCCAATGTAAACCCTAAACCCTAAAACCCCAAACCCCAAAACCCTGCAAACCCTAAACCCCAAAACCCAAATCCCAAAACTCTAAACCCTAAACCCGAAAACCCTAAACCCGAAATCGCTATAAACCCTAAAACCCTAAACCCCAAAACAACAAACCCTACAAACCCTAAAACACCCTGAGCCCTCAACACTGCAACCCTAAACCCCAAGCCCTAAACCCTAACACCCTATAGACCCTAAACATCCTACTATAGGGGTCGGAGTAGTTACTAATAATATTCCTTTATGGTTGCTATGTAATTATACGATTATAATAACCCCCAAAACCCTGTTCTAACTATTCAGGCCCCTAGCCCTAAACCCTAATCCCTAAAAACCCTAAACCCCTCAACCCTTAACCCTAAACCCTAAACCCTAAACCCTAAACCCTAAAAACCCTAAACCCTAACCCTATTCTAAATATTCAGGCCCCTTTTTTAATCACTCCTCACTTGGTGCCAGGAAGTCTCCACCACGACCGGCCTCCGCGCCTCGCGGCTTGGCCTGGGAGCCTCAAGTAATAGTAGGGTTTAGGGTTTAGGGTTTAGGGTTCCTTCATATGATTAAGGCTTCAGGTCTGGGGAAGTTTCGGGGAAAGTTTCGAGGAGTGCCGCTTTTGACTTTCGAAGAGTTTCAAGTTACAGGGGCTCGAGGGTTTGGGGATTTTTGGGGTTTTGGATCTCAGTTGACTCAAGCCCCCACCCCCCCCCCCCCCCTAGAGAAAAAGGGTTTAGGGATTGGGGGTTGTGGCTTATACCGTGGAAGCTTCTGCTCGAACCCTGGGCAAAAGGGTTCAGAATAAAAGGTACACCATACCTTTATTCTTCCATGGCGATGGAGTCGAGTCCAAACCAGGGACAGCTTGATCTCAAGTTTGGCTTCTCACTTTCTCCTGGCAGCCTGGCCCAAGACGGCCACCCACAAGGAGTCATGGGCACCCGTGCAGCAGCATGGAGCCAGCGCCCGAAGAACATGACCTTTGCAAGGCAAGACTCGAGGAAACCTCCACGGCCCTTTTGAGGGAGATCGCTGCCGCCTGCATCGCATTGACGCAGCACCCGGCTCCACCCCGCACCGGCCCACCCCCAAGAAAGGAAGAAGGCAACACTCCCAAACCCTAAACCCTAAACCCTGAGGCTCAAAATAGCCCAAAAACCCTAAAACAAGAGTCCTTGCAACCTTAGGGTAAAACCAATCACGTCACTCCCTGAACCCTAAACCCCAAACCCTAAAACCAAACACGTGACACCCTAAACCCTAAACCCCAAACCCTAAACCCCAAGCCCTAAACACTAAACCCTAACTAACACCCTGAAAAAACCGAGAGAGAGCTCAGGTGTGGACCTTCTAGACGAAGCTCGCGAGGCCCATCTGCTTCAGCTGGAGTTGGAGAGTTTCTACTACTTGCTCAAGAACCTCCCAGGTTTAGGGTGAGGGTTTTGTCCCTGTATTGCCCTTACAAGGAGGAGTATTTTGTGGTTCTTGGGTGGTCCTGGAGCACATAGTAGGTTTGGCTGGTTTGTGGCTTCGCCTCCATGTCAGCGTTGTTGCCCGAAGGAAGGTGGGAGGGGTGGTAGCAGTAGTCCCTTACCTGGGGCTTTCTAGTTAGGGTTAGGGTTTAGGGGTTGGAGGGTTTGGGGGGTTTGGCTTTGGGTTGAGGGGTATTCTTGAGGTCATAAATGAGAGTACAAACAGGGAATCCATTCGTGGCTGGTTTTAGATCCCTAGTTATCTGCCCAAGAACCTTCAAACAGGGTTTCTGCTTCTGGTGCGTTGTGCTTTCGAGGCTGCAAAGTTCTCTGAACCCCAATAACGTTTACATGTTATTATTTTTTAAAATTCGAGTAACCTTTTGCCTCACAAAGCAAGGTCAAATTCCCAACAATTGAGACACACCCCAAAACCCCTTAATTACTGGGTATACTCGGCTCACCCTTTTTGCTTAGCGTATAAATTGGGATGTTCCCCCCCCCCCCCTTATACGAACAGTCCTCAATAGGGACCATAAGAGGCGTTGCTACAATCGCTATTAAGGACTGCTAGCAGAGGGAACATCCCAACTGAAAACCCTAAACCCTAAACCCGAAACCCCAAACCCTGAGGAGCGACTACTCCATGTAGGCTTCAGGTTTTGGGGTTTCGTGCCCTGGGTCTTCCAAGCGCAATGCCTGGCCGGCTTTCTGTGCAGGCCATGGTGAGCGCGCAGCTGCGGTACGAGGAGCTTCGCGCATCCTGTGCCCTAAGCCCTATACCCCAGCCCTAAACCCTAGCCCTAAACCCTAGACCCTAAACCCTAAGCCCTAAACCCTAAGACCTAAGCCCTAAGACCTAAGCCCTAAGCCCTCAGCCCTAAGCCCTAAACAAACCTAGCTGCTCCCTCGTGCTTGGCTCTTGCTGTTCGCGGGGCTAGAAGGGCAAGCGAAGGCAAGAACTGCGGGCCCAACCCTGGTAACATGCCTATTTAGACAGGGTTTGGGGTAGGGTTTGGGGGTTTAGGGTTAATTAGACTGGGCATCATGAGGTTTATATACCCTAAGGGCCCATGCACCTATAGAGTATATATTTGGGCCTTAAAGGGGGTTTCCCACATAGTAGCCTTAGGGCCCAAATATGTGCTCCATAGGCGCATGGACCCCCAGGGTTAACGCTTCGAAGGAGATGGACCGAAAGCGCTCCGTGATCGAGAATGAGATGCTTCGAAGGCCCTGTGCGTTCTTGCGTCGGGTTTCAGGGTTCAGGTGTTTAAGGGCTTTTGGGTTTAGGTTTAGGGCTTTTGGGTGTAGGGTTTAGGGTTTGGGTGTTTAAGGGCTTTTGGGTTGAGGGTTTAGTGTCTTAGCGCTCTTGCAGCTGGGGGAATCTTGATCACCAACACCATCCTGGCGTCACGTGTTCCTCAAATGACGTATTGCTAGAACTCAGCAACCCCCTATAAGCCGGGAGTTTATAAGAGGGCTGGCCCAGGGGCACTTGGGGGAGAGGGGGAAGTGGGACCCGAAGCCCTAATTCGGCTCCGCGTCAAGCTAAACCCTAAACCCTAAACCACACCCAACCCAAATCCTGAACCCTGAGCCCAAAGTCCAACTCCTAGAGAAGCCCAGAACACACAGCCCCAGAACCATAAAACCCAAACCCTAAACCCGAAACATAATCCCCAACTAGAACTCAAAGAACCCAGAACTGGGCCTGCAAGAACATAGGGTTTACTTGCCCCGTTCCCTCGTTGGTAGGTTCGTAAGGGCTGTCGGAACTTGTTCTTCCTCCCACTCGGTTTCACGCCCCGTACCTTTATTGCATTAGGGTAGCCCGAAACCCTAGAAGACCCTAACCCTAAACCCTAAACCCCAAACCCCAAACCCTAAACCCTAAACCAGGCCCGAGGCCCTAAGGCCGAAGCCTGAAGCAAGGTGTGCGCTTCTGTTGTTGGGACTAGCAGACCAAGTTGGAACTGCAGCTTTCTTGGAGGTTCGTGGTACTCATTAACCAACTGTCTGTACTTCTAGCCAGATTAGGGCACTTAAGGGGAGTTATAAGTACAATGAACCTAATAATTGGTCAATAAGTACAATGAACCTCCAAAGCCCTAATCCCTAATTAAGCCCTAAGCCCTAAGCCCTAAGCCCCAAGCCCCAAGCCCTAAGCCACCAAGCCCCCAAACCCCCAAGCCCCAAGCCACCAAACCAAGCCCCAAGCCACAGGCAAGGGGAGGCTTGGGGCCAGGGGCGTGGCACTCGGATCTCCACCGCAGAGATTAGGGCTTGGGATGTTTTGAGAATTAGGATGGGATTTGCAGCTTTTTTTTGTTTTTTTGTTTGTGGCTTAGGGTGCATATGGGCTGAGGGATATTTGCGTGTGGAGGGGTTGAGGAGGCTCACGCAGCCGGAGTTCTCAAGGGTCGGGTGTGGTGCACCAAAGGAGACCCTTGAATCTGACCACCATATATTCAACTCACTTACGTGTGTGTGTGTATATATATATATATGAATAGTATGCGTGTATGTATCGAAATATATGTATGTATATGTATCGGTTATAAATATAAGTATATGTCGATACATACACATCCCAGCCACTCACCCCACTAAGGATGAGGGGCTTGCTTTTGCGACCTTGAGAGCCTTTCATGCCACTGGAGTTCCCTAAACCCTAAACCCAAAAATCAACCCTAAACCCGAAACCCTAAACCCTAAACCCGAAGCGGCATCCAGGAGCTTTTAGCCGGCGTCTAGCCACCGCGACCAACTCTCCGCCCAAACCCAAAAGACCTACAATTAGGAGTCAAGTCAGATGGTTTGGTGTTTAGGGTTTGGGGTTTGGGGTTTAGGGTTTAGGGTTTGGGTTTTGGGTTTGGGTTTAGGGTTTACTGCGATATGGCGCAGAAGCTGTGAAGGTTGGGATGCAGAGTAGTCTCGAACCTCGTAACACGCGAGGGTCAGCTTTGGCCCGATTGTGGGGGGCCATCTAACACTGTTATCCCACCCCACGCCGTCTCAAGTAGCAAAACCACCCTAACCTCTTCCTTTTTGGGTATCAGGCATAGACGGTGGAGGGGCTTCCTTCACAAAGCGTGGGGGTGGCGCGCCAGGATTCGGAAAAAGGTTACCGACCTCGGCAATAAGCACCCCACGATTTTCCCCTCAACTCTAAACCGCGAGGCCGGAGGTTTGCGGGTCGAGTATGGGGGGTGGAGGTCGTAGGGTATAGGGTGTAGGGTTTAGGGAGTCAAGTCTGAGGCTTACCGCGGTTTAGGATGTACGGCTGCTGCGAGCTGCTGGGCCATGCCACCCTATTCATAGTCCTTCAACACCTAGTTACCCAAAGCACAAGGGGATGCTTGACTTTCCCCCGAAGCCCTGGCAAAAACCCTACACCGTAATAATCCCACAGCCCTTCAAACTCCCCACCCCCCCCCCCCCCCCCCAAAAACCCTAAACAAACCCTAAACCCTAAACCCTAAACCCTAAACCCTAAACCCTAAACCCTAAACCCTAAACCCTAAACCCTAAACCCTAAACCCTAAACCCTAAACCCTAAACCCTAAACCCTAAACCCTAAACCCTAAACCCTAAACCCTAAACCCTAAACCCTAAACCCTAAACCCTAAACCCTAAACCCTAAACCCTAAACCCTAAACCCTAAACCCTGAAAGCAAAGAAAAGCTCTCCGGCGCTTGCAGGTTGGCGGCCTTGCATGCGGAGCTGTCCCGAAAATCGGCACAGCTCAGCCTCGCGGCAGCTTCTGGGTAGTCCTTTCAGTACGCAGGGTTTAGGGTTTTGGGTTTAGGGCTAGGGTTTAGGGTGTAGGGATTCGGGTTTAGGGTGTTAGGGTCTGTGGCGTTAGTTTAGGGTTCAGTAGTTTAGGACACGAAGCGATTGCCTCTGGGATCCTTTATTGGGTTTGGGGTATCTGGTTTAGGGTTGAGGGTTTCAGAAGTGGGAGGTTTTCAGGTTGGGAATGATCAGGTGGGATCACTTACTTCAGACTTGCAGAAGTCTTGACTGAGAGAATAGAAGGTATACAAGCCCAAGTAAGGCAGATGCGAGCTGGGGACGTGTAGCTGGTAACATTCTCATGTTGGGGTATTTCTCCCCAGCCGAGCAAGCACGATTACACGGGTTTCGGTCTAAACCTTAAACCCAAAACCCACAGCTTCTGTACCTAGCCTCCAAGTTTGATATTAAACCCAAAATCCTGAAACTTTCTTTAGAACAAATATTTTAAACGAAGGGTTCAGGGTTTAGGGTTTAGGGTTTAGGGTTTAGGGTTTAGGGTTTAGGGTTTAGGGTTTCGGGATGGGTAGTGGAAACGAAGGGTTTAGGGTTCGGGGCTCAGGGTGTAGGGAGGAGATCCTCAGCCAGCGAAGACCTAAAAGGCTTTGTTCCTCCTTGGACATTTGTCGGAACTTTCAGGGTTTTAACTATCAGGGTTTAGGGTTTACTGATTAGGGTCGAGCATGGCTTCCGTGGAATGTGTAAGCCCCTGACCCCTACACACTCCCCTAAACCCTAAACCCTAAACCCTAAACCCTAAACCCTAAACCCTAAACTCACCCGGTAGACTCTAACCCCCCAATCCTTAGACCCCCAAACCCCTGAAATCCCCTAAATCGCTCAGCCCCAGGAGTCCCTAGACCGTAAACTCCTGAATCTAGAACATATATCATATATCTACTATACCCTTTATCCCTAAGCCATCCCTGAGCCGCTTAGGCCCTATACCCGAAGCCCTTAAAGTCCTTTCTCCCCCCAAACTCCGAGTTAGTCCTCAAAGCCCTCAACACCCCTAAACCCCTTAGCCCAAAACGCCTCACTTCTGAATTTGCGCATACCTAGACCTCTAAAATCCCTAAGCGTCCAAACCATAAATAATCCTAAACCCTACTCCTACGCGAGCCCCTAAACCCCTGATCCCTGCAACCCCGCAACCCTAAGCCCCCTGGTTTTTCACTGACTTATTGACGCGTGGTTCCCGCTGCAGCTATGCCACCAGGGAGTATTGGGCCAAGCTTTTGAATCAACCATGCCGTGTCTTCAGTCGAAGCAGGCAGGCCCACGTATAGATACACCATCTACGCCAACCTCCTTGGCTATCAGGTTTGGTACATCAATCCAGAAGCGAATTGCGAAGGCTACGATGGAAAGATGCTCACTTTCGTCAAGATCGTGAAGTCATCTATCATGTGGGTACATGAAGGCTCTGGGTACCCAAAAACCCAATCCCCAAACCCTAAACCCTAAACCCTAGAAGCCCCAAAGCCCTTTGGCCCCCCCTGCTGCCAAGGCCACTTGGAGAGCTCCTTGGGGATGGTGGAAAGCCGGCCGCAAGGAAGCGAAAATGCAGAGCGCGCGATGGGTTTTAGGGTTTAGGGTTTAGGGTTTAGGGTTTAGGGTTGGAGGCTCAACGGCTTTGGGGCTTAAAGGCTTACAGGCTAGAAGGGTCTTCGAGGTTGAGGCTGTAGGGTCTGGGGTCTGGAGGTTTGGGTTTAGGGTGCGGATTGAGGGGCTGTAGGTTTCTGTGAGCCCCAGGTGGCAGGTAACTGAACTCTAAAGCCTACCAGGACTGAATCCTTGAACCACAGACCAACAGTTCCGATTTAGGGTTTAGGGTGTTTGAGGGTTTAGGGTTTAGGCCATGGTGCCGATGCTCCCCCCCTCCCCCGCCTTTTCTACCACCACCACAAAGAATCAAAGTGAGACACGAGAGGTTTATTCCCAGGGTTTAGGGTTTAGGGTTTAGGCGGGTGTGGTTTCGTAAGCCCGTAAAGCCAAAACCTTGGGATGTTCCCCAAGTACTAACCGTCCTTCATCAACCCCTAACCCTAAACCCTAAACCCTTGAATAAACCTCGTGCGTCTCGTTTTGATTCTTTGTGTGGTGGTAGAAAACGTGGGAGTGGGGGGAGCATCGATTCCATGGCCCAGACCCTGAACCCAGAACCCTAAACCCTAAACCCTAAACCGTCAGGGTATCTGGAGATCTTTCTGGCCTGGGGCTCCTAGCAGCCGTGTGCAGACCTTTCGGTTGAAGGTTCATGGGGTTTAGGGTTTAGGGTTCTTCAAAATAGGTGGTAAACGCTTATAAAGACAAAAAAACCTTATACAGTGTTACCAAGGCTCATGATGGGCTAAAGAAGGCTGTTATAAAGGAGAATAAGAAACCCAAGCAAGGTTTGAAGCACTTGTGGCTACAGCTGGCCTACTTTTACACCCGTTTCTTTAACTAGCCATGGGCCTCCAAGGAAGCTCCAAAGCCCGATGCCCTGAAACTTCGCGGAGGCTGCGCAAGCTCCAACATCTGCCCGCTGAGATCTTCTCCTAAACGCCTCAACTAACCCTGAACCACCCTATGCCCTAAGCCCAGGGAGCCCTGAACCCGCAAACCCTAAACCCTTAACCCTAAACTGGCCCTGAAAATTAGACGCCAAGCCCTGCACCCACGACCCCTGAAATCCTAAGCCCTTGTAGGCCCTAAACCCAGAAAGCCCCCGAAAGCTGGAAGCTCCTACATCCGACTACAACCACCACAACCCTAAACCCTAAACCCCAAACCGCAAACCAAAAACCCTAAACCCCAAAGCCTAAACCCAAACCCGAAACCCTAAACCCATGAGCACCCAGCCCTGAGTCCAAACACCCTAAGACCGCGGCCCACAGTAGACCCGCAACCTTCAACCCATAACCCTAGAACCCCCTAACCCTAAACCCGAAAGCCCAAAGCGACTCAGTCGGTTTCGGGCAACCATTCTGCGGCTGCAGCGTAGAGCTCACATTCAGGCTTCGGGGCTGTAGTGTCCAGACCTGGACCCTAGACGAATCGAGGAAGGCTTATATGCAACGTTTACCGCAACCTCTGAGTCCGAACCCCTAAGCCTTGCCAACATAGTCAAGTTGTCTGCTCTCTCAGGGCCTGGGGCCTAGCTATAAACCCGAAGCCCTTGGAATCCCCAAGTTTTAGCCTTAAACCATACAAATCCTGCACAGTGTCTGTATAGCTCTTGCCAGCAAGCGCCTTGCACATGGGGCAGTAGATCGACCGCGCATCCTCGCGCCATGCGCAACTCGGCTTCCGCAGATTCAAGTTGGACGGTGTTATCAGGGTGTTTAGAAGGGCTTGAGGGGTTTAGGGTTGCGGGTTTGGGTTTTTAGGGTTTAGGGTTGAGGGTTTAGGGCTTAGGGCTTAGGGTTTGTGATCGGCGAAGCCCCAGGCGGCATACTCGTATGTTCAAGATCTTCATAGGGTTTTTTGTGTTGGGGTTGGGGTTGAGGGTACTCTAGGACCCAGGGTAAGCCCTTATTTGCTTTTTCAAGGTTGGGGACTCTCTTATCATCCCCTTGAAGCCCAAAAGGGTATGTGCCCTTTTTATTCCTAGGTTTAGGCGTTTAGGATTTAGGGTTTAGGGTTGCTCCTGGGTTTAGTACTTGTACAAGGGTGTACTGCCTGCACACATCCCCAGTTCTACTACCCATGAGCTTTGAAGTAGAGCCCAGCCCTAAGCCCTAAGCCCTACGCCCTAAGCCCTCAGCCCTAAGCCCTACACCCCAAGCCCTAAGCCCTAAGCCCTAAGCCCTAAGCCCTAAACCCTAAACCCTAAACCCTAAACCCTAAACCCTAAACCTAACCCTATGAACCCTTAACCAAGGGAACTCCTTCGCACCGCACTGGTCGAATCCAGGCTCGCTGACCACACAAAGGCGAGCTGGGGTCTCGGGTCTAGGGTTTAGGGTTTGGGGTTTGGGGTTTCCGATATCCTAAGCCCAAAGCCCTGAACCCGCAACCCTGAACCCTGAACCCTAAACCCTAAGCCCTAAACCCTAAACCCGGCTTGATCTCGGGACGTCTTTGCTCACGAAAGTTCACAGAGGTTCGGGTCGAGGACCTCTCGGATCCCAGACAACAGCGCTCGTCTTGACACAAGCCCGCAACTCAATGAGGTACATAAGGGTTAGTAGGGGTTTAAGTGGTTTAGGGTTTAGGGGTCTAGGGGTTTGGGTTTAGGGTTTAGGGTTTAGGGTTTAGGGTTTAGGGTTTAGGGTTTAGGGTTTAGGGTTTAGGATTCACATACAGTGAACGGTGAATCCTCGACCTTGGGATGTTCCCCCTTATACAAACAGTCCCTAATAGGGTTTAGGGTTTAGGGATTATAGTTCCCCCGTTTCTATTCCCTATTAAGGACTGCTCAACCTAGATTCTAATTTCCTCTGCCAAATGCGCAGGCATTCCGTTGAGCCGCTGTTGTCGGGGACCTCAGACGTAATTCTCCATGCCCCAAAGCCTAAACCCCGTGCGATCCCCCCCTCGTCCTCCCCCCCTCCCCCTGAATTCCACCGCCGAAGCTGCAGCATCAGCGGGCTTCTGCCAAAGGCGAAGATCAGCAGCTGACATAGCCGCCTTGGAGGTGCGAACGCTTTTCGAGGGGACTCTGGGCTCGGGGTTACCATGGAGTCATAGAGAGCCAGATGCGAAGTGCCTCTTCATACCACTAGCTAGTTTGGATGGCCTCAGGCGTTTAGGATTTGGGGGGGTTAAGCAATAATCGGCTGGGCCAAGATGCTGACTCTCTCCCTCCCTCCCCGTCCCGGTCCCGGTCCCGGTCCCCGTCCCCGTCCCCGTCCCGTCCCGTCCCCTCCCTCCCTCCTCTCTTGAGAAAACGAGGTCGCTGTAAGATGGGCCAGTGTAAGGGTTGGGTGCATCACGGGCGATTCATTATTCTTTTTCAGGCTTGTTGAAAGCAGGTGTTTGGCTTAAGCCCTACAACTTGCCATGTTGTGGGGGCGATGCCAAAAGCTGGCGCGACCTTTTTCTGATAAGACCAATGCCGGTGCAGCTAGAAGATGTGGGGGGGTTATGAAAATAGGGGACCCTAAAATGGAGCCCCCCAAATAGTGGAATTCCCTGATAAGGCGACTTCAATAAGGTACCCCTAATTTCGGACACCCTCATGTTGACAATTTCCTCGGCGACGCTGTGATCGCGCCCAAATTCTAAACGCAAGAGATACAGTGTTTTGTATGAGTCTACGTATCCATTCTATGTGTCCATACCCACGTAGTACATACCCAGACTAGCAGGGACAATCTGGGTACAACTTCTGGGCACAAGTACTCCCTCGAAACCCTCCATTTTCCAGGTTAAGGTTTTAGAGCTTAGGGTTTAGGGTTGAAGGGTTCTGGGTTTTTCTAAACCCTAAACGCCCCGGGAACTATATCAAGCCAAAGCCCTAATAGTCATGGGTTGCCCTATACTACCCCCTCTAGCGGGCTTTGAGTATAGGGTTTAGGGTTTAGGGGTACCACCCCCCTCTATACAACCCCCCTAGGTTCCACCCATAAATGTCCTTAGTTAGGCTTAATTGTCCCTAAATAGCCTTAATTCTGAGGGGAACCGAGGGGGGTTAGTATAGAGGGGGGTAGTAGGGGAACCCATGATTTCAACCCTAAGCTAAGGTTGCGCCCCCAAACCCAGCTTATGCTGCACACAGTAAGCTCCAACAGGTCAAGGGCTTTTACTAGGGTTCAGGGCTGAGTATTCAGGGACCCTTAAGCCCAAAAGTCGGGTCTAAGTTTTCCGGGCTACCGAAGGCCCTAGACTCTGTGCCTACGCTGCAGGAGTGCGCGCAGGCACTCCGGAAGGCGGAGGAAGATGTGCTCTCAGTCAGGCCTGCCGTGGGCTTGGACGGAAAACCTAAATCCCAAGCCGTGTCCCGTTGGTTCGGGTACAGGCCTGCGGGGGGACGTGGGCGGGCGCGGCAGGGGTGAGGGCGTCATTGCATTCTCTTTCTGCTGTCTCTCTTGTTCCACAGCCTTGTTCACGTAGACTCGGATGGTGCATTGGTTTCTTGGTGCGAAAGGGTCGGACAAGAGGAACAAGACTGGTGCACCCGTGAACACGACTTACGAACCGAATGAATGGTACGACTACGGTTCGTATGTTGTGATGCCTGAAATGCCGTGCCATTCACGGAGCGGTGGACATGTGAACTAGACTTAGTACTGATGTTGGGGTCCCGAGGGTGGGTTCGTGATAACTTAAATTCTAAGGTAAGAATGGAGTGAATGGAATGAACGTGGTTTTCCTTCACATGTTGGCCGTTGATCTCGGGCTGACTCTTGTGATGGTATTCCAATCAGCCCCCCGTATATAAAGAACTAGTATTCGGGCACTGTGGGGGAGGGGTGAGGCGGGGTTCTGGGGTTGGGCGGGGGGCAGGGGAGCGCCGAGCCCCTCAACAAAGTTTAAGGGTGAGAGTCTAAGGTTCGGGATTTTGGGCGTCACGCGTAAAGCGCGTCCTCGCAGGCGGAAGTTACAGGACATGGTCTCCGAGGCATCGCTAGCCCAGGGTTGTTGTAGGGTTTTTCGGGTTCGGGTCTTCAGGGCTTTTTTGAACCCTGTAAGCCCTAACTCCGCCAAGAGTTAAGGGGTTTCTAGGGTTAAGGGCTGAGGGTCGCTTGGCGGCCCAGTGGTACCCTTTTCTTTAGGGTCTCCAAATGCATGCTGCCTGAACTTGCATGCTGCATGCCACTTTGCATGCTGCCTCAACTTTGTTTCTTTTCTGAGAGCACACAGGTCTCCACACGCTTTCGCTGTGGCTTTCTCCCAGCGTCCAAGAACACGAGACTTGAGAGCACTGTCTAGTGTCTACAATTTACAGAAATGGAGACTCCTGTGTTATTTTTTCTTGTCTCAGATCTCATGTTCCTTTAACCCTTCTTCTCTTTTGGGGTGGCTCGTTCTGAGCTGCAGCGATGCAGAAAGCTCCATACCATGAAGTACGACTGGCACATGTTGCGTGGGGCCCCGGGATCTGCCGGCATGAAGCGCGGAATCCATGAAGCTGATCTTCTCGCGAAACCTCTTTTTCAAAAAGGCCTTTTTGTCGGGATCGCTCGCAGACCTGGCAAACGAGGCAGCACGCAAAAAAAATGAGGCAGCACGCAAGCGGAGGCAGCACGTTCCAAACAGGAATCTGGGCCCAGGCACTCCACGATTTCTTTGAGTCTCGCAGCAAGCCATTTTCCGTCGGCCATTCCTCAGGGTTTTTTTGTTTTAACCCTAGACCCTAAACCCTAAACCCCAAAAGTCCCAAGAAAGAAACGGCTCCCGCCGAAAACAACGGGAAATTGAGGCAGCACGCACAAACCGAAATCGAGGCAGCACGTTCCATTTTATTTAGTCTTAAGGGGCCACAATGGTTTACGGGGGTTTCCCGGTCGCCAGAGATTTCAG